TGACTCCTGCACTCCCTTTCAACCCTTCCACCACTCATACTGAAGTTTGCAAGACACAGCGGTGACATTTGACAGAACAAAAAGATTCATACAGGCTAAAAGAGAGAAAAAAGTGTGTGTGTTTCCAGCTCTTTGACTTCCCATATAAATGTGTTTTCAAAGTTACGGTGCCAGAGAGTCGTCCCTAGGTCATTTGTAGGCTTTTAAGAGCTTCCTATCTGAAGTCTTGAATCATTAATTCTTCCCCAAATAAACTCACACCTTTTGAAAATGTGCAGTTAGTTCTGTTTCTGCTGGAATGTAGGCAGCTAAAAATATACCCAATTATTTCTGCTTGAAATGTCAGCACAGACAGGTCTGGAAATGATTCCCTTCCCATCACGTCTTAAATAAACTAGCCTAGGTCTCCTTTCTGGAAGAAAGTTTTATTTGCCTCTGAAATCTGAGAGAGAAGTGGATGTGAATCCGGGCATGGGTCAGGCTTCTTTGAAAAGATTGCAGGAAGGAGGGGAAAAAAAGAGCCTGAGCTTTGTGGAGGAAGTCAGGCTCTGTCCTAAGTCGGATTTCTGGAACTTCTGGACCAAAGGAGCTCTTTGGGCTGCAGCGCTCCCGTGGTTTGTGAGGATGGGTGCCAGAAAGACAGGATGGGCTCCTCGCTAGGTCAGCGTCAGGGCACTCACACCCTATTCCTCACAGCCAGAGCAAAAATCACACCCACACTAAACCCGCCAAAACATTAAAAAATATATATATTCTTCATAGGGAGGGCATGTGTGCTCCCTCCTGGGACCAAAACTGCTGCGCGGGGGGAAGAGGAGGGGCCATTCTATTTTGCAGGAAACTCTTTATTCTGCTTCTCTACATCTTTCCCAGCGTTACGGCACCCTGCCGTAACCTGCCTCCTCTGCCGCCACCCCATCCCCGATCTCCTCTGTTCTGGTCTTAAGTCAGGATCCGGAACGGAATCCAAAAATCCAGAAAAATCGGTCAGGCTAAACACGGTTGA